CAGCGCTGCTCATGTGCTTGCTGCTTCTGCTTTTGCTGCTGCTGCCTTTGCTGCTGCTGCTGCTGCAGTCGCGGGGAGCCAAATGGACTTTGCTGCTTTCCAGACCGCCTTCTTCCAGCTCGCCCTTTTACTTCACGCCCTGGACGCCAGAGTGAGCAGCAGCAGCAGCAGCAGCAGCCACAGCAGCAGCAGCAGCAGCAGCCACAGCAGCAGCAGCAGCAGTGCTGAGGATGAGTGTCTGCGCTCAGACCGCCAGCGAAGAGACTGTGGGGCGCTGCCTCTCTCGCGTTCTTTCTCACTGTCTCCTTGACGACCCCAGGGCCTTAAGAGACGGGCAAGACCCACCCCCAGCTAGCCAGCTAGCTAGCTAGCTAGCTGCCTGATAGCTAGCCAGCTGCCTCGGTAGCTAGCCAGATAGCTAGCCAGCTAGCTGCCCGAATAGACAGCCAGGTAGCTGCCTTGGTAGCTAGCCAGCCAGCTGACCCGATAACTAGCCAGCTAGCTGCCACAATAGCCAGCGAACTAGCCAGCTAGTTGCCCTAGTAGCCAGCCAGTTAGCTGCCCCGACAGCTAGCCAGCTAGCTAGTCAGCTAGCTAGCCAGCTAGCTAGTCAGCTGCATCGGCCCCCCTCCCTCCTCTAGCTGACTGTTGCTGAGCTAGCTATGCAGCTAGCTGAGTGTCCTGCTGACCAGCCAGCCCACCCACAACTAGCTAGCTAGCTAGCTAGCTAGCTGGGTCGCTAGTTAGGCAGCTAGCTATTTATTTGGCTAACTTGTTAGCTAGCTAGCTAGTGCGGTAGCCAGCCGCTGCTAGGGTGTTTGGTTAGCTGCGGTGAGCACTTAGCAGCAGCAAGCGCAGCAGCAAAGGCAGCAGGAAATACAGCAGCAAACGCAGCAGCAGCAAAAGTTGCTGCGGCTTGTTGCTGCTTTTGTGTCTCTTCTCTCAGGCTGCATGCATTTCAGTCCACCGGCAGGCAGCTGCCGCCCCTTCTTATAGAAGAGGCAGACAGCGCCCCAGCTAGCTACACAGCCCCTTTAGCTAGCTAGGCTGCGGCCGCAGCTAGCTGTGTAGCTAGCTGTGTAGCTAGCTGTGCAGGTAGCTGCGCAGCTAGCTGCGGCACGCCTGCAGCTAGCTGCTGCAGCTAGCCACCCTCGCCGTTTCGCTGGCTAAGCAGCAGCTGCTGCTGCTGCCGCTGCTGCTGCCCCACAAGCAGGTAGTCGGGCCCCACTTTGGGTTGGCCGCCCAGCTAGCTAGCCTCCGCGCCGCCCGGCCAGCTAGCCACCCTCCTGCTCCGCTAGCCGCTAGCTAGCCAGCGCGCCCACAAGCTAGCCGCCCAGCTAGCTAGCCAGCTAGCTAGCCAGCTAGCTAGCCAGCCAGCTGCCTAGCTGCATGGCTAGCTAGCCAGCTAGCTAGCCATGCAGTTAGACAGCTAGCTAGCCAGCTAGCTAGGCACGCAGCTGGACAGCTAGCTAGCCAGCTAGCTAGCCACGCAGCTGGACAGCTAACTAGCCAGCAAGCTGGCTAGCTAGCCATGCAGCTAGCCGAATAGCCGTTTGCTGCCGAGCTGGGGCGCCGGGCAGCCAGCAGCTGCTGCTTCACTCAGCAGCTTTAAAAATAACTCCTTTCTGCTTTCTAGTTCAGAAGCAAAAACAAAAATCTCAAAACCCCACAGAGCTGCAGAAGCAAAAACAAAAATCTCAAAACCCCACAGAGCTGCTGCTGCTGCTGCCGCTGCTGCTGCTGCTGCCGCTGCTGCTGCTGCGTTCAGCGGGGCTAGCGGCCGTCTGTCGCGTCATTTTCAATAGCGGCAAGTGGTGCAGCAGCTGCTGCTGCTGCAGCAGGTGCTGCTGCAGCAGCTGCAGCAGCAACTAGCAGTCTGCTGCTGCAGCAAACGAGTAGCGGCAGGGCCCCCAGACCCGCTGCCGCTGCTTCGTGACATAGGGCCAAGCCACTGCAGCATTTTCTTCAGGAATTTGCTGACATTCCCATTCATCTGCTGCTGCTGCTGCTTCTGCTGCTGCTGCTGCTTCTGCTTCCGCTGCTGCTGCTGCCGCCACCGCGGCGGTGTCGGCTGCTGCTGCCTGTGCTGCTGCTGCTGCTTTCATTTCGGCTGCAGCTGCCTCTGTGGATGCTGTTGTCATTTCAGCTGCTGCTGCTTCCGCTGATGCTGCTTCCGCTGCTGCTGCTTCCGCTGCTGCTGCTTCCGCTGCTGCTGCTTCCGCTGCTGCTTCTTCCGCTGCTGCTGCTTCCGCTGCTGCTGCTTCCTCGGCTGCTCTTTCTGGCTGCAGCACTGTTTCAGCTTCAGTCTTCACTGCTGCTGCTTTTCCGGCTGCTGCTGCTTCTTCCGCTGCTGCTGCAGCGGAGGCTTCCGTTCCCGCTGCTGCTGACATTTCCGCTGCTGCTTCAGCTGCTGCTGCTGCGACTGCTGCTGCTGCTACCTCTGCCCCACCTGCTTCCTGTGCTGTTTCAGTTGCTGCTGCATTTTTTGCCGCTGCAGTTGTTTCCACAAACGCTGCCGCGTCTGCTGCCGCTTCTGCTGCTGCTGCTGCTGCATGTGCTGGTGCTGCTGCTTCTGCCGCAGCAGCTGTTGTTGCTGCTTCTGCTGCGACAGCGGCAGCTGCTGCTGCTGCTGCTCCTGTCTTGAGACTACAGGCTGACAAAGGAGTGCTTGGGGCGCCAGAAGCAGCAGCAGCAGCAGCATCGAGCAGTTCATCTGCTGCAGCCGGAGGGGTGACAGTGGTGGAACTGCTGCTGCTGCTGCAGTTGCTGCAGCAGCCGCTGCGGCAGCTGGTGGCGCTGCTGCTGGCGCCGCTGCAGCAGCTGCAGCTGCAGCTGCTGCTGCTGCACCTGCTGCTGCTGCTGCTCGGACCCCACAAAGCGGCCCTCAAAACAGCAGAAGAAGAGAAAGGAGCAGCAGCATCACTTGTGGGGGGAACTGCAGCAAGAGATTCCTCCAAAGACTGCAGCGGGAGGGGCCCCCTAGGGGAGAGGGGCCCCACTTCCCATTTGCTGCTGATGCTGCTGCTACTGGTCTCCCTTTGCTGGCGGCTCTCTCTGTCTCTCTCGTAATTATCCTATCTTTTTAATCTTATCTCTTTACTTTTATTTTTTGAATTTTATTGTTTTCAATGAGATATATCTAATATCTTTTGCTGCAGCAGTTTGGCCTTAGCCGCTGTCTACCCCACTTACCCGTTTGCTGCAGCAGTGCCCCCTGGGGGCCCCCCAGGGGGCCCCCAAAAGAGGCCCCCGAATCCCCTGTGGGGGCCCCCAAGGGCCCCCAGGGCCCAGGGGGGCCCCCCGGCTGTGCTGCTGCTAACTCCGCCTGCAGCTCCTGCAGCAGCAGCCGCACTGCTGCTTCCTTCTGGGGGTCCAGGCCCGTCACAGGGGAGGGAGGAGGGGCCTCGGGGGGCCCCCTTGCAGCAGCCTTCCACGTGGGTTCATGGGCTGCCATGGGCTGCTGCTGCTGCTGCTGCTGCTGCTGTCGGCTGATGTGTGGCGTTGCTGCTGCCGGAGCTGCTGCTGCTGCGGAAATGATGGCAGAGGAGGCCCCCTGAAGAATAAAAGCCGCAAAGTCTAGTTCTTAGGCCTAAAGGGGCCCCGATAACGAAACCCTAAACCCTAAACCCTAAACCCTAGGCGGCAGCTGCCAGCGGTTGGTGATAGGAGCCAGGCAGCGGCGAGGCGCTACCCAGGAGCCCCCGCCGTAACAACTGAAACAAAAGTTTAATAAATGAAAAACAGCAAATGTAATAAGAATAAGAAAGAAATGCGGCTGCGAAGTCCAGGGAAGCTGCAAGACACATCAGCTCAGGCGTGGCGGCTCCTGCTGCAGCAGCACAGACCCGCAGCAGCAGCAGCACCAGCAGCACTTTTGGCTGTCTTCTCCCTCGGCAGGACTGAAACTTTATTCTTTTTAATTTCAATTATGAACTTCCACGCAGAAGCCGCTGGAGTTGCTGCGACGGCTCCAGCACGGCTCCGACCAGCCCAATCTGCTGCTGCTGCTGCTGCTGCTGCTGCTGCTGTGGCGAGAAACCGAACAGTGTATAGACAGCTCCGCGGCGTTTGCTGCTGCTACAGACACGCAGTTTAAATAGGGAGAAGAAGACAGGCCACAGGACGCGGACCACTGGTCAGCCAAAGCAGCAGCAGCAGCAACAACAGCCAGGCAAGGTGACTAGACGGTGTCTTCACCTCGGCTCTGCTGCTGCTGCAGCGGGAAAACTTGAGGCAGCAAACAGCAGCAGAGTCCTCATTGCTGTCATTTCTGCTGCTGCACTGCCTCTGAGATGGCCTGTGGGCATCGTCAGCAAGCCTCAGCTCCAAACACCTCCAACTTTTGCTGCTGCTGCTGCTGTTGCTGCTGCTGCTGCTGCAGCAGCAGCACTCCGCAATAACTAGTAAATGAGAGGCAAACCGCCGCATTAGGCTGCTGCTTCAAAAGCAGCAATAGTCTGGAGCAGCCTCAAAGCTGCTGCCCTTTGCTGCTGCAGCGCTTGAGGTGTTGCTGCTGCGTAGTGTACTAAACCCTAAACCCTAAACCCTAAGGGCTAGCAACTCTATCCCAACGTCATGCCCTGGACGCTAAACCCTACGTGCCTCTCTGGAAACCCTAAACCCTAAACCCTCGGCCCCGACAGGCTGTAAACCCTAAACCCTCGTCTGCGTCTTCTCTGCAAATTGAGTGTAGAGCTGTTTGTTCTAAAACCACCGGGTGTACGTACACCCGAGAACGGCACGGCGAACTGCCCCAAAGAAGGGCTTTCAGGGTTTAGGGTTTAGGGTTTAGGGTTTAGACACCTGCTGCTGGCTGGCTACGCTGTGTACGTACACTGCAGCAGCACAACACGGACAGCGCAGCACATGCCCATTTGCCCTCATGAATAAAACAAAGAAGCTGCTGCTGCTGCTCCTTCATTGCCACAAACACGCCACCGTGCTGCTGCTGCTGCTGCTGCTGCTGTTGCTGCTGCGGCTTTTGTGCCGCTGTGTCCTCAGTGACGCTGCTGCAGCTCCGCAAGAAGTGCAGCAAGGAACAAACTGGCAGCAGCAGCAGCTGCTGCTCTTGTGCAGCCACCAGCTGGCAGCAGCGCTGCAAGTGCAGCAGCACCAACAAGCAAGAAGGCCGCCACTGCTGCTGCAGCAGCAGCAGCAGCAGCAGCAAAACAAACAACCCTTTGTTTGCTGGCGCCTGCCCCGTTCCTGCTCCTGAATCTGCTGCCGCATTTGCGGCCTTCTTGATATAAAACATTCAGCAGCTTCTCGAGCAGCTCCTGCTGCAGCAACTGCTGCTGCAGCACTTCCATTGCAGCAGCAGCTCATTCTTTGGCTGCTGCGGCAACGACTGAGCGGGCGCTGCAGCACCTGCTGCAGCGCCTGCTGCTGCACCTGTTTCAGCACCCGCTGCAGCACCGCTGCAGCAGCTGCTCCAGCAGCAGCACGTGCTGCAGCACCTGCTGCAGCAGCTGCTGCAGCACGTGCTGCAGCAGCAGCAGCAAGGGCGCTGGCCGATCAGCGTTTCCAAATGGTGGGGACCCAGGAGGCGAATCCCGGAGCTGGGGTGTACGTACACCTCGTGTAGACTTCGAGCTGCAGCTCCCCGCCGAAAAAGAAAGACTCTTTGAGGCAGTTTTCGGAAATTGGAGAAAGTCTAACAGCAGGTTTTGAGGCCCCGCTGCTGCTGCTGCTGCTGCTGCTGCTGCACTGGTTGAAGGGCAGCCGCAAGTAGGAGAGGAAGCCCCAGCTGCTGCTGGCGGCGCTGCCGGCGGCGCTGCCGGCGTCCCCCGGTGCTGCAGCAGCAGCAGCAGCAGCAGCAGCAGCTTCTTCCTGCTGCTGCTGCAGCGCAGCACAAAAAGGATCTGCACTGTTGTAAAACCTGTTGAGGTAAAACAAAGGGTTTTTGGGGGATGGCACAGAAAGCAGCCCGAGAGGTCTGTCAACGAATGGCAGCAGCTGCTGCAGCGGGACTGTGGGCTTTGCTGCTGCTGCTGCTCCCGCTGCTGCTGCTGCTGCTGCTGCTGCTGGCGCTGCTGTTATCTCCGCGTAAGGCTCCCAATCTGCAGCAGCTCCAGCGGGCTTTTCTCGAACTTCTTTAAACCAATAAATTCGAACTCGAAGTTCAGGAAAAGACAAATGATCAGCAGCAGCAGAAGTGTCCAGAGTTATCAGTCCGTAGGGGGAGTTCACCGCCTGCTCTTCAAACTGCGCGCCCAAACCCCAAACCCTAAACCCTAAACCCTAAACCCTAGGCCCTAAACCCTCAGCCATGCACACTCAATTCGAGCCCACAAGCCTACGCCCTGAACAAAAAACCCTAAACCCTAAACCCTAAACCCTAAACCCCAGAACCCAAACGCTGCACCCAAGCCCTAAACCCTTGTCCCTGCATTCTAGACTCTGAATGATAAGCCAAAGTCCCCAACCCCCCAGCGTGAACCCCAAACCCTAGACCCTAAACCCTAAACCCTAAACCCTAGAATCTGAGTTTTAAACCCTAGAGTCCAGCGTATGACTGCAGCAGCTCAACTGCCCGGTTCTTCACCTCGCCCCTCTTTGCTCTGCCCCGCGCACAGCGCGTAGCGCCTAGGGTTTAGGGTTTAGGGTTTAGGGTTTAGGGTTTAGGGTTTAGGGTTTGGACCTTGGGCTTGGCCTTGGTGGCTGCGAGCCAGGCAAGCAGGGCCTGGGGCAAGTAGGCCTGGGGCCGCAGCAGCTCGTTGCTGGGGTCGAAGATGCTGCAAGCTTCTCGAACTTTCTTTTTATCTTTTTCGGAAATTAAAAGATTTATTTCTTTATCTTCTCGCAGCAAACTGTGGCGGCTGAGAGACCCCACAAGTGTGGGGCCCCCCAGGGCCCACTGGACTTGCTTCAGCTGCAGGGCCTTCGCGAGGCTTTCGAAGAAGGCCATCAGCCCGTCGTGCTGCTGCAGCGTCAGCGGCGCTGCTGCTGCTGCTGCTGCTGCTGCTGCTGCTGCGCCGCGGCGCTGCGCGCCCCACAGGTCCTGCAGCAGCTCCCGCCGCCCCGCACTCGCCAGACTCATCAGGGCCCCCTGTACGTACACCCGGGGGGCCCCCTGGAGGGCCCCACAGCGGGCCCTGTCTTCGGGGGAGGTGAGGAGGGGCCCCTGGTGGCGCAGCTGCTGCAGCTGCTGCAGCAGCGGCAGGGTCACCTGCCGCCACAGCAGCAGCAGCAGCCCCACAAGGGCCACGGACAGCAGCAGGCAGTAGCGCTGCAGCAGCTGGCGGCTGTAGAGCCGCTTCAGGCGCAGGAAACGCAGCCCGTGGTAGCCCCGCAGCCCTGCTGCTGCGCTGCTGCTGCTGCTGCTCGGCAGCAGCATTGTATAAGTTGCTTTGGACTTCCGAGGGGCCTCTGGATGTTTGTTGTGGCTGCTGCCGGCCATGAGGGGAATTTCGCCCACAGTTAGCGGCCGGGCGAACCCGGGGGGGACCCGCGAGGCCGCAGACGGAGACGGCTGCATCTTGCTGCTGCTGCTGCTGCTGCTGCTGCTGCTGCTGCTGCAGTTGTTGTTGCTGCTGCCACCGCTACCGAGGAAAACCAGAAGACGGAAATCAAAGAAAGGAAACTGGGATAATGAAACTGTTGGTGAAGTTCGGACAGAAAGTCTGTGCTGCTGCGAAACTGGCTGGGGACGCTGCTGGCTTCGTCCCCGCTGCTGCTGCTGCTGCTGCTGCTGCTGCTGGGGAGCTCTTGTTGCACCAGTCAGTCTCCGTATGTGAAGAGAAAGGCAGCTGAAGCCCTCAGAGGCGTCGGCTGCTGCGGGCGCATAGCTTGGGGGCCTCGCTGCTGTTGCTGGCGGTGCCCTTGCTGCTGCTGCTGCTGCTGCTGCTGCAGCTGTTTGCTGCTAGAGTGGCTTCGCTGAGGCCTGCTCTGCTAATTTGAAAAAAGGGGAAAAGACAAGGGGGTAAAAACTGGAAAGGGGAAGACGGAGGACAAAACCAGAGAAGAATCGACGCCGCCGGAAGCAGCTGTTGGCAGGCAGCTGCAGCAAGCCGAGACTGAGAGGGAAAGCAGCTGCTGTTTGAGGTGTAGCGACACTTGAAAGAAATAATAATTGAAATTTGAAAACGGAAGATAAATGTGGAAGCGCAGAAGGCCGCAATTACACACCGGCACAGCATCGCTCCTGCTGCTGCTGCTGCTGCTGCTGCTGCTGGTTGGGCTCCCGCAGCCCCGAACTAGCCACGGGATTTGCTGCCCTCTCTACAGCACATCGCCAATTTAAAAGTAATAATGAAAATGTTTTATTTAAATTTTTGTTTACAGAAAAATAAGCTGCTTTCGTCGCAGTCTGCTGTCTGTACACACTTGCAACAATCGACCGACGGACACGGCGCTCCAGGTCTCGCTGCAGCACGAAGCAGCAGCAGCCATTTGTCTCAATTTAGAGTAAAATATATTCAGTTTTTGTTTATTTAAACTTTCTGATTTTATTTTAATTATTTTGCATTTCAAAACAAATATATGAACTCCTGGAAGTCCTCACGGAGGCGCCCGAACTGCTGCATCGGCAGCGGTCCGGTGCTGCCGTGGACCGCAGCCGTTGTTCTTTTGCCCCTAATAAATAGCTCTATAAAAGCATTTATCTCTTTCCCCTTTTATAGTTAATTTATTTCAAAAAGCCACGAAGTAAACACCCAGAAAAGCAGCACAAACAGCCGCCGCCAGACCCCCCCGCCCTTACTGTATGCAGGCAAGTAAGAACAGCAGCAAGCTAAAGGAAACCTGTCTTCCCGCTGCAGCAGCAGCAGCACACACACCAGCCGCACCAAACAGCTGCTGCAGCAGCAGCTAGTACCTAATTCTAGCCCCAGAAGCAGCAGACAAAATAACTCAGGCAGCAAAGCCAGTCCGTTCCATACCCCAGGGGCCAGGGGGGCCCCCAGAGCCTAAACGGGGGCCCCCAAAGCAGCAGGAACTCTCCTGCTGCTGTGGGGGCCCCTGAGGGGGCCTCGCCTTAATGTTGCTGCTGGCAATGTTAGCTTTTCGGAGGGAGTGAGGGACACAGCTGCTGCTGCACCTGGTGCAGCACCTGCTGCTGCAGGTGCAGCTGCTGCTGCAGGAGCTGCTGCCGCCGCAGCTGCAAAGTCGACTGCTCCTGTTGCTGCTGCAGACTCTGCAGCAGCAGCTGGAGCTACAGCAGCAGCAGCTACAGCAGCAGCTGGAGCTACAGAAGCCGCAACTGGAGCTGCAGCAGCAGCAAATGGCATGCAACAGCAGCAGCAGCAAGAGCCGCGGGCGCTGCGCTGCTACCACTTGGCAGCAATATCAGCAGCTCTGATGAAGGCAAAAGTGTCTTCGCCGATTTTCAGCTGCGAAGACTCTTCGAGATAAGAGGAGTAAACAACTTTGTCTCCCACCGAAACCTACGCAGCAGCAGCAGCAGCAGCAGCAGCAGCAGCAGCAGCAGCAGAGTGTGAACTCAGCAGCAGTCTAAATATCAAACATCCGAAGCCGCGAAAGACACGCATGTGCAGCTGCTGCAGCAGCAAACGGGAAGAAGCGGCGCAGCAGCAGCGCCCCATAGCCAAAACTCAGCAGCAGCAGCAGCAGCAGCAGCAGCAGCAGCAGCACGGACTTCAACTGGGATTCGTGTCTGCTGCTGCGACAGCCTTCCCTCCCCGACAGCCACAACCTCCGCCTGCTGCAGCAGCCGCTGCTGCTGCTGCGAGACCAGCAGCAACCCTCCGGCACTCTTATCTGAAGCCTTCAAGACGCGCACGAACACGCTGCAGCAGCAACAGCAGCAGCAGCAGCAGCAAGTCCGAGCCCGGCAGCAGCAGCACCAGGAAGGCGTCTCTAGTCACGCAGCAGCAGCAGCAGCAGCAGCAACAGCAGCAGCAGCAGCAGCAGACGCACGTGTCTGCCAGCGGCTGCACGTCAGAAGGCTGCAGCACTTCGGGCTGAGAGACCTTGGCCAGCAGCTCCTCGCCGGAGAGCAGCACGCAGTCAGACCCATCGTACTTCAGCTGAGCAGCAGCAGCAGCAGCAGCAGCAGCAGCAGCAGCAGCAACAGCAGCAGGTTGGGGCCAGCACGCTGCGAGTGCGCGTGCTGCTAAGTGTTCCGCAGCAAAGCCAGCAGCAAGGCCTGATGCAACAACACCTGATGCGGCAGCTGCAACAAACAACAGCAGCAACAGCAGCAGCAGCAGCAACAGCAGCAGCAGCAACAGCAGCAACAGCAGCAGCAATGGGCTGACAGTCTCTCCAGAGTGCTTTGGGTAGACAACGATGTCGCCTTCCTTGACTGCGCAAGCAATGCGCTTCCTGCAGCAGCAGCAAACAGCAGCAGCAGCAGCAGCAAAAAATAAACTACAGCCAGCTCTTGCGGCTGTTGTTGCGATGGGGCTTTTGCTGCTGCAGCAAGGGCTGCTTTGCAGCAGCCCCTACACACGACAGCCCTGCAGCAGCAGCAGCAGCATGTTGCCCTTTCTCTGCAGCACAGAGAAGGCCTTGCTGCAGCAGCAGCAGCAGCAACTGCAGCAAAAAGCCCCGGGCTGTTTATCTCCCGCCCAATACCATACCAGCGACACCCACAACGCGTGTGTCACGCTCAGCCGCGGCGGTGCAGCAGCAGCAGCAGCACGAGCAGCAGCAGCAGCAGCACGAGCAGCAGCAGCACGAGCAGCAGCAGTAGTGGGGCAGCAGAAGCAGCAGCTGGGAAGAAGCAGCAGCAGCGACACGTTGCGCGGCACAGTGCGCAGCTGCAGCACATAGGCAGAGCAGAAGGAGCAGCAGCAGCAAGAGCAGCAGCAACAGGATCAGGAGGAACAGCAGCAGCAGCAACAGCAGCAGCAGCAGACCCGGTCTCTTGCTGCAGCTCTCCAGGGCCTGTAGCAAGCACGCGGCCGAGCACTTTCTCTTTACGGGACTGCAGCAAAACAGCAGCCGCACAGGAGACTTACACTGCAGCAGCAGCAGCAGCAGCAGCAGCAGCCTCTTCCCACACAGACACAGCAGCAGCAGCAGCAGCAGCAGCCTCTTCTCACACAGACACAGCAGCAGCAGCAAGCTGAAGGACAGAAACGCAACAATCAACAACAACGCAAGCACAGCAGCAGCAGCGAAGACGCAGCAAGCAACCGGCAAGAGAACTGAGCAGCAGCAGCACAGCAGCAGCGCAACAGCAGCAGCAGCGCAGCAGCAGCAGCAAAGTCCCACTTCCGTGGGCAGCAGCAGCCCCCCCTTTGTCTTCACGTCGGCCTCCAGCTTCTGCAGCAGCACCATTCCCCTTAAAGGCTGCAGCGGCCCCGAGATGGACTCGCCGTCAAGCCAGTGCTGGCTGCTGCTGCTGCTGCTGCTGCTGCTGCTGCTGCTGGCTGCTGCAGCGCTGGCTGCAGCACAGCGTCCGCAGACACAACACAAACTGCTCAGGCCCCCACCCGCACGGATTGCTGCTGCTGCTGCTGCTGCCACCGCTGCTGCTGCTGCTGCTGCTGCTTACCTGCGGCTGTGTAAGAAGGAGCGTGGGGCCGCACGGCTTCAGCAGCGGAGGACAGCGGCGTCACACTCTGCAGCAGCAGCAGCAGCAGCAGCAGCAACTTAGTTAGGCGCCAGTAGAGGCTGGACTGCGCAGACAACAGCAGCGAAAAGACGCAGCAGCAGCAGCAGAAAGAGCAGCAGCGACAGATGCAGCAGCAGCAACAGAGCCTCACCCGCAAGACCTGAGTCGTTTGGGAGAAAGCAAAAGCTGCTGCTTGTTGAGTTGCTGCTGCTGCTGCTGCTGCCAGCAGCAGCGCCACCCTACATTGTCGAGACACCATCTTGGGCGCTAAACCCTAAGCCCTAAACCCTAAACCCTAGACCTCGAGGGACACGCAAGGCTTGTCCGTGGAAAGCGAATAACGGCCCTCCTTTCCCTACAGAAACCCTAAACCCTAAACCCTAAACCCTAAAGCCTCAGGTCAAGCCTGCAGACACCCCACGTCGATGTCGGCAGCAACGGGGTGGTCGCAGCAGCAGCAGCAGCAGCAGCAGAGGCAGCAACAGCAGCAGCAACCGGCTTGTCTGCTTTATTATTTTCTGCAGAAGTCCCAAAGACAAAATTAGAAGCTGCAAAGATCTCTGATCGCCAGCCCCACATGCTGGCAGCTCTGCTGCTGCTGCTGCTGCTGCTGCTGCTGGAGTTGTTGCAGCGGCTGCTGCTCTGGGGGCCCCACCAGCAGCAACACGCCTTGGCAAGGGGCCCCTGTCTGCTGCAGCAGCAACAAGCCAGATAAAGCATCTTTGGTGCTGCTGCCATTACTGAATTAATAATACATTTTTTAGTCATTGGTGCTGTAGACACAGCAGCATCAGCAGCAGGAGCAGCAGCAGCTGCAGCAGCAGCAACTTGAGTATATCAGGGGCTCACTGCCGACGCTGCTGGCTCCAGGTCAACGCGGCGAAAGACGCTAAACCCTAAACCCTAAACCCTAAACCCCAATCGCTCTTTTCTTATTACCAGACCGGCTTCCGTAGGCTCCTCGTTTTCCCACCCAGTCGCAGCAGCAGCAGCAGCAGCGGCAGCAGCAGCTGCTGCTGCTGCTGTTGACCATGGCTACCACAGTGCTGCTGCTAGTTCTGCTGCTGCTTAAAGCCCCTAATGAGCTTCTGGCCTCTTCGGGGTCAGATACGGTGGCACCTCCCAGTGCAGCAGCAGCAGCAACAACAGCAGCAGCAGCAGCAGCAGCAGCAGCAGCACAAACGACAGCACGTTTAGCCTTAGCGCTGCCGCCGCGGCGTCTAGATTACGCCGAAGCGCCAAGTAACAGCAACAGCGACGAAACCAGCAGCAGCAGCAACAGCAGCAGCAGCAGCAGCAGCAGCAGTAGTAGCAGCAACGGGGGCACTGAGGGTAGCCGGAGCAGCAGCAGCACAGACGATAATGCGGGCACACGTGGCAGCAGCGAAAATGATGACAGCAGCAGCAGCAGCAGCAGCAACAGCAGCAACGGCAGCAGCAGCAGCAGCTGGGAAGGCGAGGCTGGGGACATCCTCAGCAGCAGCGAGAAGGAGGTGGTTATGTCCGTTGGTTTGCTGCTGCTGCTGCTGGTTGTTGCTGCTGCTTTGTTTATATCTCTTGCTGCTAGGCGCATGCAGCAGCTGCTGCTGCAGGTCCCTTTGGTGGCTACACTCCTCGGCGTGTTGCTGGGGGCGCTGCTGCAGCAGCAGCAGCAGCAGCAGCGCAGCAGCAGCAGCTTCAGAAGCATTTTGGCTCTCAAGGAAGAAGTCTTCTTTGTGCTTCTTCTCCCTCCAATTGTTTTCCAGGGGTAACTTCTAAACCCTAGACCCTAAACCCTAAACCCTAAACCCTAAAACACAGTTCTTCAGGCCTAGCAGCAAAGCCGCGAACCCCGGAGCTGCACAGCAAACCCTAAACCCTAGTTTGGTCAGAGTCAGATTTCCAAGCACTAAACCCTAAACCCTAAACCCTAAACCCTAAGCTGTTGAACTCTGGGCCCTAAGTTCAATCTTACAAACCCTTATCTTTTCCCCAAACCCTAAACCCTAGCTGCCGGCCTTACAGCTGCAAAGCCCCGTAAAGACTGACGGCTCATGAACTGTGCTATGGGCCCCGTGAGGGTTTAGGGTTTAGGGTTTAGGGTTTAGGGTTTAGGGTTTAGGGTCCATTACCAGGTGCCAGTGCCTAGTATTAAAGCATTTGTGTCTAGTTCTTGCTGCCTAGGCTTTCGAGCTCAGCGTCTAGGGTTTAAGGCCCAGGGTTTAGGGTGCACTGAGGGTTTAGGGTTTAGGGTTTAGGGTTTAGGGTTTAGGGTTTGCTGCGCGTCAGGGGTTTGGAGCTGGTGCAGCGGCCCTTTGGCTGCGTCTTTGCGGAAAACTTCGGAGGCGTTTTGTGGCTGGCTTTGGGCGCCACTGTCTGCAGCACTTTGCTCATTGGCACCCACATGCTGGGCGCAGGTCTGCTGCTGCTGCTGCTGCTGCTGCTGCTGCTGCTGCTGCTGCTGCTGTTGGCGCTGCTGCTGCTGCTGCTGTTGGCGCTGCTGCTGCTGGTGCTGGTGCTGGTGCTGCTGGTGATCCGGATGATGGTGATGCTGATGCTGCTGCCGATGATGGTGCTGCTGCTGCTGCTGATGTTGATGTTGATTATGGTGCTGCTGATGGTGATGGTGCTGCTGCTGCTCCTGGCGCTGCTGATGGTGCTGCTGCTGCTGCTGGTTGTGGTGCTGCAGCTACTCAGGATCGTAGTCTGGGTGTGCCTGTGCCGGCGTTGCGTTGCTGCTGCTGCTGCTGCTGCCGCTGCTGCTGCTGCTGCTGTTTCGTGCGAGCGTTGCTGCTGGTGGTGCGGCCTGCCTGCTGCGGCTGCTGCTTCTGCTTTTGCCGCTGCAGCAGCCGCTTCTGCTGCTTCTGGCTGCTCAGCTCGCGCGCCGCGCGTGCTCGCTCGCCGCTGCTGCACCTTCTGCTGCTGCTGCTGCTGCTGCTGCTGCTGCTGCTGCTGCAGGTTTGCTGCTGCCAGGCGTGTCTTTCAGCCCCCGCCGGGCCTTCGCCGTGGGCGCTCTGATCTCTTCAACAGACCCTGTGGCGGTTTTGAGTGCCTTCAGAGACCTGCGGGCCAAAATGCTCATACACGTCCTCGTAAACCCTAAACCCTAAACCCTAAACCCTAAACCCTAAACTCGAGACCCTAGCACGCTTGGGAGCGGGCCGTACCCGAACCCCGCCGTTCCCAAGCTGCACGCCCGCTTAGTAGCTAAAACTGCGGCCGCAGCAGCAGCAGCAGCAGCAGCAGCAGCCACAGCAGCAGCAGCAGCAGCAGCAGCAGCAGCCACAGCAG